TTTCATATATTATCATTCAATTCTCACAACACTTTTATAAGAGGTACTACTGTTAACCCCATTTTACAGACTAGAAAAGTAAAGCAAAGAGAGGATATAGTCAGATTGCTAGTGAGTGAGAGGGTTCAAATCTAGGCTGTTGGACTCCAAAGCCCTAAAATTAAACCAATCTGCTGAGCTGATACTGTTCAGTTCATTTGCTCAAAAACTGTTATGTGCACTACTGTAAAGCATCGTGCAGGTCAGCAATTCGCAAATTTTACTGTATATCAGAAGAATCACTGAGGCAGATTCCAAGACTCTTGATTCAGTAAGCCTAGGGTGGAATTTCAAGAGGTCTGCAATTTTAACCATAAGTTCAATCACTTCCGACTCACTTGGTCCCTGAACTATACTCTGATGAACCCTACGCTAGGTATCCTAGAGATGTGAAGGTATTTGAGCCTCCTGTCTCCATGACTTTACAACCTAAAAGGGGTAAAAAAGAAAAAAAAAAACAAGACACACAAACAATACATACAAAGCCATACAGGAAAAGCGGTATAGACAACACAGACAAGAAAGACTTCAAGGAAGAGGGGTCATCTGTAAATGAAATGAAGATGAGTAGGATTTCATGAAGAAAGGAACCCATTTCCCACAGACTTTCAGGAATAATGTTACATACAAAGGAAGGAATGAGTAGACGGCTTGGCAGGAACAGAGGATCTGCCTTTAGGAATGGAACAATAACGTTAGTAAAAAGGGGCTGTAGAATGTCCACAATGTCAACCTGAACACTGCGGGCTTTATTCTCTGCTGGCACTGGGAAACTGCTCCTGGCTTCTGAGGAGGGAAATGATAAATTACAGCAATATCCTTTGGAAGAGGACTCTGATGAAGCTATGCAAGATCGAGTGTATGGAGAGTCACAATGGGCATAGCTAGGCTGTTAGCATTCTAATCTCTAAGAAATAAAAGCTAGGACATTGTAGTAGAGAAGGTGAAAAAGGGAAGAACAGTACCTCTTAACCGTTCACCGCACGTAGGGCAAAGGCAACAATCGCAGCCAAGTGATTTCTTCACCCCTTAAGTCCAAACTCCATTACTATCAGTTTCGTGCTACTTTTTACAATGTTTTTTCTTATACAGCTAACGAGGCCCAAAACATATAATAGAGTTCACTGATTTTAAACACAGCCCATGACTAAGAGGTCAGCAGACAGGCCTCCGAGCAGCCAAAATACATGTCATATAGTTCATACACTAAAAAAAGTATTTATAATATATATAATATTTAATATATATTATATATATAAATGAAAGAACACCATTCAGAGCTACACAATCTAATTTTACACAAAGTTCTAACAAAGGTAAGCATCTACTTTCCAAACCCACAGCAGTCTGGAAGCAAAAATTAGAATGAGAAAAGAGCCAGCTATAGGTGGAAACACTTAAGAGTCTGAGGTTCAAGAGAAGAAATGAAAACTATAAAAAAGCACACACAATCACTCAGGGTAAATTCTCCACAACTGTTTATTGACAGGTACACATGATTCCCAGAAAAATGAAATTAATGAGAATCTTCCTTAATGTCCCAAACAGCTACCACAAAAAAGAAACCTTTTAAACATTCTTTAAAGCTAAATATTTTCAAACAAATATTTACCTGATTAAAGGGTAATTTTTAAAGGACAGCTGATACATGCCAGCATACCACTCTCCTCAGTAACCACAATATAGTCAATAAATAGTTAAAGGTAAGAAAGATTTATAACGCACAAAGCTTGAAGATAAGAAGAATGCTTTCACAAGGCATCTAAGCAAGAATGTGACCCCACTGGTGAACTTTAATTTGGGCAAGTCTTCCTGATGGGCCTCTGAATTCCACATTCCAAACTATATGAAGGCGTCACCAGCAAAAGTTACCACTATTACCTGGTCTTAAGTACATACCGTATAAATTTACCTACTGAAATTAGGCAACATCATTGGACACTCAACGCCCTGTAAGAACAGGTTGTGTGACAACTTTTTAAAAGACTTCAAACACGGCAGCACATGAAGGCCTCTTACTTTGTTCACTAATACTTATTAACATTTATTACAATACTATTCATCTAAACAGATGAAAACATCATTTTCATGGGAGGAATTAAGATGCCAACTAACTCAAAGTTATACTTAAGTTTATGATTAAGTTACTAAAGCCATGAACTTATACCTTTAATCATGGAGAAAAAGTATACTACTTACTAATTACTGAAATTAGAAAAATACGGGTTTCAGCTTGAGATTTTTTTAAATACCAGAAAAGCAAATAAGTGTATATTTATAATACTGTAACATTAAAGTAAAATTACGTTAAAGATGTAGGGATAAATCAACTAGAATGGAACTAGGCCTCTCATATTTCTCAGACACAAGCAAAGGATAGAGAAAATTAAAGCACACACTTATTTCAAAAATTTCATCAAATGATCAGACATTAAGGTATCAAATATTACGATTATGGTATAAAACATGAGTTAAATATGCTATGTTATATGTGGACAAATGAAGCAGTCAGTTGCACCTGGCTGGTTCTGCCACCCCTCAGCACCACCATCCATCTTCTTATATAAAATCATCCTTGCGCTCTAGAAACATACAACATGAGGACACTAATGGATACCAAAGCAATGTGCCTTGGAAGGAGTGTTTTTCAAACTGCAACGTGTGACCTACAAGCCAATTTAGTAGGTATCAGTCAGCATTTTTTTAATGACAGAGAATAGAACATAGTAAGAATGATTAGTATGCATCGTATGTAAAAAGGGTAAATAATACCTTGTAAAACTTTTCATTCCTATGCGGGTATGTATTAGATCATGATGTAAAATGTACCTATTACGGAGTATGACTCAAAAAAAGTTTGAAAGCTTATAGAAATCTAGGTCCAATGTCTCGGGACCCAAAGGCTGAATGTTTTCATTAGTTCTCAGCATCCACACATCATCTCTTTGCTCAAGATGGATTCTTGGAAACCAACTGAAGGGCTCCGGGGCAGCATGCAAAGAATGGGGACAAGCCTCGGCCAAGCCTGTATTTGGTCCTGAAAAAATTGCTAACTTCCCCAAACAACAGCCCTAGGCGGTGCCTACAAGCTTCTCGTAGCTTAGCAACCTTCAGAGTAGAGCTCCTCCTTCCTCCACTGACTATAAACACTTCTCTTCCAACCAACTTTCCTCAACTACAACTTCCAGGAGCACTGTCCCAAGAGAAGACGGTGTTAAATTTCTTTCTCGCTTCACCAATTCCCAGCATGTTTCCTAGAAGAGGACCCGAACTCTGTTGAGAATGCAGCTCCCACAGATCCTTACCTTCCTCCTCTCTCAGATCCCAGGATGGGGTACCCTCCTCCCAGCCCCCATCTTACTCCAATCGCCTCATTGTCAGCCAGGTATCTTGGGGGCGAAACGATTCTCCCCAAAGCCCTTATAAAACTACCGCGTCCTTTTACCAGCCCATTGGAAGGTGCAGGCCTAGTATCCCAAGAGCCTGGGAATGCCCTCCCGCTCCCTGGCCCACCAAACCTCCCTGGGGACATGTCCTCTATTTTTTTTTTTTCTTTTTAATTCAGTGGTTCAGAGCCAAGTTTCCTATCTCCCCAGAAGCCCCAGCTCATCTCCATCTCCTACCAGCCAGGGGGCGTCTCCCCATCCCCCACGCCCCCGGGGGCGCAGTGAGAAGCCCGGATTCTCCCAGGAACTCAGGCTCCCCCAGACGCCCTCCTCCAGCCCGGGACTCACTCCCTCTCCCAGCCCAGGCCCTCCCGGCTCTGCCCCGGCCCAGGCCCGGCCCCATCCTCCCCTTCGCCCAAGCAGGCCTCGTCCCGCTCCGAGTTCTTCCCGCTGCGTCCTCGCACGGCGCCCCGGCTCCGGAGGGGAGCCCCTCGGGCCTCGAGAAGCCGGCGGAGCCGGCAGGCCCGGGCTCCACTCACCCCTCAGCCCGGGAGGCGGCGGAGCTGCTGCGGCGGCTCCTCGGGCTGCGCCTCTCCTCCCCCCTCCCGGCCGCCGCCGCCGTGGCCGCCGCTCAGCCTCCGGCCTGCTCCCGGCCGGCCTCGGACCGGCTCCGCTTCACCTCGTCCCCAACTCCGGCCGCCGGAGCCCAGTGTCCTGCATTGACCCGGAAGCAGCTTTCCCGGCCCAACAACAACACGTGACCCCGCCGCACGTGTCACGTCCGCTGCGTGAATGGGAGGGGGCGCCAGGAGGAGCGGGTCCTCCAGGACCAGGCTGGGGTTGCCATGGCGACGGGGATGTCTTTGCCGGCCTAGTCATCGCTAGAAGCACCTCATCTGCTCTCTTTCTTGCCCGTCATGAGGGGACAAGCTGGGTGCAAAGGAGGAGTACGTGTTGTCACATCTGAGTGGAATAGGGGCAGGTCACAGCAGAGCCTGGGCCTCCGAGAGGCTGCTGCTTTACAGAAAGGAGCATTAGCGGAACCTTTCCTGACTTACCTAGAATTTTGTCCCAATTCTGTCACTAATTTGCAGTGTGACCCTGATCAATTTACTTCCTATCTCTGGCTTGAGTGTCCTCATTGGCGAACCCTAGGCTGTAATCTAATATGATGCCAAGATGATTTTGCATTTGGTAGCATTCTGGCCTTTATTCTGTGTCTCCTGCGCAAGGCCTGGGGCATCCTAAGCTTTCAATGCTCCGACACCAATGTAGTAACAGCATCTTCCATTTATTGAGCCCCTTGTAGGCACCAGGCCCTGTCCGTATTCTAATTTTTACAACCTTCCCAAAGTAGATATTTTATGGAATTGAAAACTGAAGTTCATAGAGGTTGAGTGATCTGCCCAAGACCATCCAGTTAGTAAAAGTGACCAGGCTGAGATTTGAATCCAGGTCAGTCTGGCACCAAAGTCAAGTCTTCACATTATGTTTTGCTATTGCTCCAGCTCCATACACATTACACCTGACTGTTGGGCTGTGATTGCTTATGTACTTTTTCAACTATTTCTTTTGCAGGAACAGGCATGGAAGAAGGATGGTGCTGGCTGATCCGGAAGAGAATTCAGCCTTGTATGGTTATGCTCGCTGAAGAGCTGGGAGCTGACAAGGTCCACGTGCATAAGGTGTGTGTGCTTTTGTGCAGTGTGTCTCAGGGAGCAGGTGAGGGGTTGTGATGCACACACACATGTATTAATTAGTTCCTAGAGGCGGGGAAATAAACTTCTTTAGGGGTAACTTAGTGGCAGTTCTTAGGGACTTCTTTTATTTTATTTTGTTTTGACTTATCCCATAGATAGGGCTCAGGGGAGTTCCAGAGGGGTAAAAAAAAGCCTGAAAAAGCTAGCTAAAGAAAATGCTCTGATGGGGAGAACATATAGCTCTGTGGTAGAGTGTGTGCTTAGCATGCTGGGTTCAATCATCAGTACCTCCATTAAAATAAACAAACAAACCTAATTACCTTCCCCCATCAAAAAATTTTTTAAAGAAAGAAAATGTTCTGAGGATCAAGGGGAGGGTGACCCAAGCAGTGTGGCTTCAGTTGCTGAGATGGAGGCCTTCCTCCTCCTCCTACAGAGAACAGAGCATCTTTCTGCCACCTTTGGATGAATGGCTTTGGAGGCATTAAGATTATTAGCATGACTGGTATCTAAAGTAGCCTCAGTGACAAGTACCATGAGAAGAGCTGAGTGAAATATGCACAGAGGACGAAGAACAAGGTGGATGCTGCATGGATAACTTAACTGATAGGCTGACTTGTGAGCTCAGGCACCCTTGGGGACACCCAGAAGTACTTAGGAAGTTAGATGTCCTGTGAGCAAGTAGGAAAAAAGGCAACAAATGTGGGTTATCCCTGTTAATAAATACTGTATACAAGATACATAAACACATATGTGAGTACTGTGTGTGACTGGGTGTTTAGTTACAGTCGGTCCTCCATACCCTGAGGTTCCATATTGGAGAATTCAACCAATTGCAGATAGAAAATATTTGGGAAAAAAAGAAAACTCCAGAAAGTTCCAAAAAGCAAAACTCGAATTTGCTGTGTGCAGCAACTATTTGTATGGCATTTACATTCACCTTGTATTTACAACTATTCACATAGCACTTAACATTGTATTAGATATTATAAGTAATCTAGAGATGATTTATGTGGGAGGATGTGTGTAAGTTATATGCAAATACTACACCATTTTATACAAGGGACTTGAGCATCTGTGAATTTTGGTATCCGCGAGAGTCCTGGAACAATCCCCTGAGGATACTAAGGGATGACTATATACACTTCTTATTTCTTGGAAATAGCCTTCAGTCATTTTTCTTTTGTTCCTTTTTTTTTTTTTTCCTCTGTGGTTAGATTTTTTTCATTTTATTTCTTGGTTCATTTCAATGACCTGAGAAGGGCTATTTCCTCTTTACAGATTTTCCAGGAACAGCAGATTTGGGGGATAAACTTCATTTCTGTTCTGTCTGGGTTTGGAAACAGGGTATCCTAAATTCTCCTCACTCCATCCGCTACTAAGTTAGTGCCCTTCCTCTTTTCAGGGAGTTCCCAAAGCTGGCTGTTTTGTTCCTTTCTTTCCCCTTATAGAGAAAACTTCTAAAGACACGATCACTGTCTGGTCTATTTACAAAAGACAATCAGACTTATCTTTCTAAAACTCATGTGTGATCCTGTTATTCTCTGTCTGTTCTTATTCTATTCCTGCCTTGTTCAATCTGGTAGGCAGTAGCCACATGTGGTTATTTAAATTTAAATTAATTAAAACTGCATTTCCTGAGTCACATGACACTAGCCACATTTCAAGTGTTCAGTAGCCATATGTGGCCAGTGCTATCATATTGCACAGTGCCAGAATAGGCTATTTTCATCATTACAGAAAATTCCACTGGGCAGTGCTGCTGTACACCTTCAACCCCGCATGTACCTGTTCTAGAGGAATTTGCTCTGTGAAGCCCTTCCCTTGAGATATTCTTCTTCCACCTCCTTGAGACTGAAAATTATATGTAATTGCTTATTTTCTTGTTGTCTGCTTGTCAAGCATGTAAGCCTCAGCGAAGACAGGAGCTAGCCTATCTTGTTCACCATTGATTTCACATTCTCTCTAAAGGAGAGAGTGGACAGGGAAGTAAAATGAGAGGAAGTAACAGAAAGGCAAATTTCTGGTCATTTTATTAGAAATTGTTGGTAATTTGATTGTTTTGGCGTACAAACAGCAATTTCATATGGTTCAAGCTAATGAGGAAGAACTTTCGAAGAATTGGAGCTACTTCAGACAGTTCTAATAAGTTCCCTGTGGAAAAAAAAAAAGTTCCCTGTCATTGGGATAAGTTAGGCAAAGGAGGAATTGATTAGCACTACGTTTGAATAATTCCTGGATCAGTTGGACTGGTCTAATTCAGTCCAATTCTAAGATTCCAAGTCTGCGGTCCTCCAGCCAAGTCTTTAATTCAGGGTTGAATATGCTATAACAATAATCATAGCTACTTTCTGAGTTTTTATTTTGTGCCAAACACTTCTTGAGATATTTCACATAAACTATTTCCTTTAATTCTCACAACAATTTTTATGAAGGATGTTTGACTTATCTGTTGAAGCCATTTTGACCTAGAGTGTTTTATATGAAAAGTTTTAAATTACAGATTCAATTTATTTCATAATTAAGCATAATTCAAAATTTCCTACTCTTCCTGCATTAGTTGTAGTAAGTTGTATTTTTTCAGGAATTTGATCACTCCATCTAAGTTTTCAAATGTATTATAGCATAAAGTTGTTCATAATATCCCATTATCTTTATCAGAGCTACAGGATCTGCAGTGATATTTCATTTTTATTCAAGAAATGAAATTGATAAACCTTTAGCTGGTTTGACTAAGTAAAAAGAGTGAAGACACAAATAACTAAAATCAGAAATGAAAGAGGAGTTATTACAACTGATACTAGAGAAATACCTAGGACCATAAAAGAGTACTGTGAGCAATTATGTGCCAACAAATGGAATGAATTTATCCAAAAAGTGAATAAATTCCTAGAAATATACAACCTACCAAGGGTTCATGAATTAATAGAAAATCTGAACAGACCAATAAGGAAATTGAATCACTAATCAAAAACTTCCCAACACAAAAAGCCCAGGACTACATTGTTTCATTGTTGAATTCTACCACTTAAAGAAGAATGAATACCAATCCTTCTCAAAATGCTTCCCAAAAATTGAAGAGGAGAGAGAACCCCCAAACTTATTTTATGGGGCCAGGACTATCCCAGTACGAAAGCCAGTTAAGGATACTACAAGAAAAGAAAACTATAGGTCAATATCCATGCTGGTTATAGATGCAAAAACTCTCAACAAAATATTAGCAAACTGGATTCAGCAACACATTAAAAGGATCACACACCATGCTCAAGTGAGATTTATCCCTGGGATACAAGGATGGTTCAACATATGCAAATCAATAAATGTGATTAATAGATTAATAGAATAAAAGATAAAAATAATATGATCATCTCAATAAATGCAAAAAAAACCATTTGACAAAATACGACATCCTTCATTGTGAAAGTCCTCAACAAATGGGGTATAGAAGGAACATACCTCAATGTAATAAGTAAATATAATAAAGTAAATAAATAATATGACATACCCACATCTAACATCATACTCAACAGTGAATGGTTGAAAGCTTTTCCTCTAAGATCAAGGATGAGACAAGAGTGCCCATTCTCTTATTCAACATAGTACTGGAAGTCCTAGCCAGAAAAATCACTCAAAATAAAGAAAGGCAACAAAATTGGAAAGGAAGAAGTAGAATTGTCATTAATGTCGATGATGTGATCTTGTACATAGAAAATTCTAAGACTCAGACAAAAGGCTGTTGGAACTAATTAACGAATTCAGGAACATTGCAGGATATAAAATCATACCAAAACCAGCTGCATTTCTATATGTTAACAATGAAATACCTGAAAAGAAGTGAAGAAAACTATCCCATTCACAATAGCACCAAAAAGAATATAATGTTTAGAAACAAATTCAACCAAGGAAGTGAAAGATCCGTACAATGGAAACTACATTAATTGATCTTTTAAATGTTAAACCAGCCTTGCATATCTGGAATAAACCCCACTTCATTGTAGTGTGTAATTCTTTTTGTACATTGTTGGGTTTGATTTCCTAACATTTTGTTGAGGGTTTTTGCATCCATGTTCATGAGAGATATTGGTATTTTTACTAATCTCTGACCTAGTCAAGAAATAGTGTGAATAGATACAGGAACTTGAGAGAATTTTAGATCATCTTATGCTTAATAATAGTAGCTAAACATGCAATGTCCTCTTGCTAGAACCAGATATTCTTCTTAGCTTTTCATGCACTTACTCGTTTAGTTTCTAAGGGAAAATTGTATGCAAATTCAAGTCATTTTTCTCCAGTAAGGGTTAATCATTTAAAAGAGGAATCTCTAAAACTGACATACATCACAGTATAGCATTCAGTAACTAGCTCAAGAGTTGGCCATGGTACTTACTCAACAAAATGTGTGGAATAAGTGAATTAATGAGTAATATTGGAACCTAGTTCAACTACTAATTGTATTATTGAATTATGCTTTAGAAAACCACTTGCAGACTCAATTGAGGATGCATAAGAACATTTAATCAGCGGTTCTGAGACATGTTTTAAATGCAGGCTTGACAGAAAGCAGCTGGTTGGCTACCCTGTTCTCTATTCTCTGTAAACATTTAACTCAGCAAAGTTGTATCCCAGTGAGCATTGCTCCCAAGCCAGAAACTTGTCATAGGTAAACTTGGCTTTCCATTAAGATTAAATATTGCTCACAGATATCCATCTGTTTTGGAAGGTTTAGTTGCTCACCTGCCTCTGGAGACTCCATTGAACTCTGTGAATATGTCATTTAAAAAAATTGTACCAGTTTTGAAATAACACTGAGTACAAATCAATATATTGTACATAATGTTAATCCAAAAGATTCAGCCAACTATTGAGGCACTGGGGAGATAATCCTCTCCAACAAAAAATTTTCCTGTTATGTTATTTCCTGATTTATTTGTTAGAATTTTAGAGCCATTTTTATCTAAAACTCTTCAAGCTACTCCCATATGACTTATTTAAACCTGCCTCTTCTCACGTAAAATTGTAAATGAGGGAAGTAAGGTAGACAACAGAAAGGGAAAAGTAAATGAGAAAAAGAAAGGTTCAGGAGGGACTTTGCAAGAGCAGGTCACATTATTCCATACATTTTACGTGAATTGGTTGCACAGCAATACGCATCACCTCAGTGCAAGTAGACTGGCTTTCCACAAAACTAAAGATCTCTCCTTATTTAATGACCGGATTCACTGATTCTGTGGTAGTTTTAAAATGTGCCACAAGTTCTTTGGCCCTCCTTCCACTGAGTGGTGGGGTCCTGTGTCCTCTCTCCTTGGACCAGGATGGGCTTTGTGACTGCCTCCATCAGTGGAGTGAAATGCCATGTACTGCTCTCTTGTTCTCTTGAGTTACATGTGGTTATATATACACACATACACTCATATATAAAAACATATATATATGTTCAGCATATGTATGTATGTGTATATATTTGGTATGTAAGTACATCAAATACACAATGGGGAAAAGGGAAGTGAACAGTTGGTGAGATGGCTGTGGCAGGACAAGCCTCAAGAATTTACAGAATCCCAGTCCCTGGCCCAACACTCTCTCCACTCACAGACTTAAACCTTTCAACTTTGCCAAGGATACATAAATGGATCATTGAAGTCGTGTGAGGGGTGATGTATATTTTCCATCTGCTCATTATTGTCCACTGTGCACCAGCCATTGTAGTGGGTGCTATACAGGTTAGACTCCG